GTGGCATATGATCGATACAAGGGAACGCTGGTTGCTTCCAAAGACTGGCGTCGATCTTGCAACTTAACGCAGTTCATTGCAGAACTCCGACAACTACTGTCGATAGCACAGCCTCATAACGCAGCGAACTACTGTCGCACGGCGTTTCCGTCTGTGTGATTTTTCAATCGACTAGAGACGCAGCTTCGCGACCTCGATATTATGCTGGTAAAGAACGAGTCTGTTTGGTCAATGGTAAGGTTCATGGAGGCTGCTTGCAAGAAGACCCAAATTTCATATATGCATCGTTATCGTAATATATAGTCATAGCTGTAATAGTTACCATTAGAAAATTATTGTTGATCGCTTTGATGCTGATGACGAAGTCTTATTTACACCCATATGGAACAGCCTAGTTTTCAGTGCAATTATTCAGTAATTAGTTACGATATACCGTAGGAGCTGCTTTGTTGAGTTGTACTTATGGGCACCAAACAAGAATCAGGCAAATAGTTTAATTGCCATTTGAAAGGCACAACTATTAATAATTACCCATGTGGCGGCGGCACTTATTGACAATTGAAGTTTTCAGCACTGATCTTGTTTAATACTCTTAATCACGAATGAGCCAAATGGCTATGGCTCCAACAACACATCTAGAATGGATATAGCCAAGTTATGTAAATTAATCGTTATTTGCACTTGTGACGAACACACAGGTTAAATGACTACCTCGAAATAACTCTTCAAATAAAAGGTCAATATGCAAAATAGCGAACAACTCTGCTGAGACAAGATTTCTATGCTCCATAGGCAATTAGAGGCAAAGGGAAGGTACAGTACGCCTGAAATCTGGTTTTCTTTATTTGACATACTCTGAGTACAAGCTGCTTATGATGTTTATGCAGTAGCATAAGAAGAGTATCCGCTCCTAAAGCATCGTTCGTAATGGGCGCAAGGTGCCTATAGCAGACAAAATTATGCCAAATTCTTCTGGTATGAAGTTCGGGCCTGCTTGAATACCCCACTCCAACCATCACATAACTTGAAGCAAACGGGGCAGTGCGATACGCCGTGAAATCTGGATTCGGAGCAGTCGTTCGTTATCTGATATATTTTGATGTACGAATAGCCTATGATGCTTATTATCTTCTCTAACTCTGAAACGGAGGTACTTTGATTTGGGTCTTTCGATTAACTTATGGAAAAGAAAATGAACAAAAATCAGCAAAGAGCAGAACAATGAGACAGGTGGGTCATTGGGTGCAAACAGACGAGCAAATTATTGCTAAAACGCTATGCGCTATCATCATAGCAGCCAGTGATAGGCTAAGCAAGCTAGAGAGTCAAGGATATTAGCAACAGCACAAAGACGAAGATATACAGGGCTTGCATACTGGATGTCCATCATGCCTATAACCAGGAAACACGTGCATTTAAAAAATCTGAAAATTAAGCACTAGAGACAGGGAAATGGAGATTTTAAGATCAACGTTAGAAGATTGAGTATTTCGTTTATGTGTCAGTGATCCTACTTAAAACTGCAGAAAAACACAGTTCGTTCATAAACAACACAAGCAAATTGGTCGGTCAGGTGATTAACCGCTACCAACGTTTCGGCTGGTATCTCACAGGCTTCCAAAAGCACATCTTTTGTTTCCAAATGTTACAATAGCTGCGGACCACAAAACAGAGTTCGGAAATCAACCCTATACACTCTGAAGAAGGCCGATTGACCATTTCCTTGAGCTGGGTACGAATAAACCATGTTTTGTACAGTTTTCAGTTTTCAGGTTAGATATTATTAGTGAAATGGTACGATATGCTGTCGTAAGAAGTGAATATTCAACTGAAATGACCGACTGGTTGCAAACATGGCTTTTAAACTGCTGGGCCATTGGCAACCAATGAACAATTGCGTTATCATTTGTCATTTAAGATAGATATGGCCGTTTTCGGGATTCAAACCTGACAACTCGGAATTTCGAAGCCAACCCTCTTGTACCCCCATGGTTTCCGTCACAGTATT